CTGAGTGTGTTCCTAGGATCTCCAGCTTTTCTAAAATGTCTTCTGTCATAACTCTGGAATCCGCTCTGTGAGTGGACCTAGGTTTGGATGCCACCCCCCCCTTTTACTACTGACAGAAAGCATAGTTTGGTCTACACCTCCAGGCCATGTTCACTATGCACAGCTTAAACCTGTTACCCAGTACTCCCAGAGGCACTGGGGGAGCCGTGCTGGGGCGTGGGCTGCTCTGTCCCCAGCGTCTTTCAGAATGGATGAAATGCATACTCAGTGTGACTGTGACACATATGCTCATGACCAGAAGTGAACTCTTAGACTCCAGGCTTGAACAACTAACCTTCAATAGTCACCTCAACTTCAGGGTCCTCACTTGTTTCTGAAGGGACATGTTGAGTAGAATCTTGAAAAAAATAAAATTCTAAAATGACATTCATTATTCAGCATGTTCCGTGTGCTCCAACACTTACTGTCTGGTGCTCCCAAAGAAGCCTACAATGAAATGCAACTGGCATTTGAATTCATTTCATGTTCATTAAAAATACTTGCCCCTTGATTACAACTAGGGATAAAAGAAAACAAAGTGTAGAAAAGCGCTGGGTAATGTTAAGACCATACCGAGTTACCTGCATCAGTGGACTCGAGAGGAATGCGGTTACAGCAAACTCACAATTATTTCTTTGCTATGTAACTGGAGGATGCCAGATAAAGACACGCTTCCTAGTGTGGACACTATAGCCTCTCTCCTTCCAGGAATCCTACGAGTGGTTTATACTGTTAAATAAAACCACAACCAACTTTTTGCAAAGGAGACCTTCATATTAAGAGAAAGTTGGTGACAAGTACATGCATGCCTGCAGCTGACTCATTTACAAGACTCTTTGACTGGGATTTGGGTTACACAAAACGTACATATACAGGAAATGTTAGTGCCGGAAGCACAGGGAATTTTCATTAGCTGTCTTTCACTTTGCAAAAGTTGAGAGATTAGCTGACTTGCCAAAGATGATGTCTGCTGTTAGTACAGGAATAAAGAGCAGAGCCCAGTGCACTCAGCTGTTAACACATCAGTAAGAACTTCACAAGAAACAATTCTCCCGAGACCTGGTATGTGTTGACAGACTTGTGAATACGTGAAGCAGCCTGGCAGCTGGATGAACCATGCAGGTCCTGTGCCGAGGCCTGTTGTTAGCAGGGCCACCTACCCCAACCTAAGCCCTGCTGCAGAGGCTCATCACATTACCTCCCCAAGCCCAACAGGGCTCTCACCACACAATCACCTACGAAGAACATCTCAAATTAGCACAAGGATTTCTTTTTCTGTTTTATTATTTTGAGACAGGGTTTCACTATATAGCCCAGGCTGGCCTGGAACTCACCATGTAGCCCAGGCTAGCCTCAAACTCGTGGCTGATCCTCCTGTCTCAGCCTCCCATGTGCTGGGATAACAGGCGCAAGCTACCACACCCGGCTAGAACGTCAAAATTTCCGAGAGAAATGTATTCATACTAGAAGCCTACTTTCTGCTGCTGAATGTGCATAGATCAGCCTTTGTCTTTGCTAGGATCACTCCTTCACTAGACAGTAAAAGGTCAAATCATGATTCCTTAGATAAAATGAAACAACACATACAAGAACTTTCAGGGTAAGTTCCCCCTGTGTTTTATAAACAGCAGTTAATGAGAGGAACACTGATTTGGAAACAAGAGATCAAGTCCTTGCAGGGCTACAAGACCTCTGTGAGCTATTCCAACCCCTCAACAGGGGATACTGCCATCTGGTCCTTAACAGTTCTCAGCCATGTCGCTGAGTGCCAAGTTAAAGTCAGTGGCTAGCTGAGTGGCAGCCATTCCTGGGGTAGCTAGCTGTGGGTATGGTAACAGTGAGAAGACAGAACTTCTCAGTCACAAAGTTATCTGCTGCCTATGAACAAACTGGGGAAAACAAATGGTACATTTTAAAGTTAAATAGTATACAACCAGGAATCATTTAATTCTAAAATACTGAAAAATAGTAAATTAACTAAGTTTATAAAATAAAGGATTGGAGTTTTTTTCTCCCCAATGTACTTTCAACATGGCATAAGAAAGCTAAAAAGAAACAAAATAACCCACTTATCTAGCATCGCCAAGAGCCTCCCTAGCCCTGACAGCCAGGCCCAGTGCTTGTTAGCACAGTACGAGCCACCACATGCCTCCTCTCTAAAAAATGACAGTGCTGGCCATGAAGGCACTAAACACCACCATCTCATCTCTGAAGAACGTGCAACAGAAATGGTAAAATTCCAGGTCCCTTCTTTCCTAACCTTCGGCTGGCACTTCCACTTCTGTTCCTTCGTGGCCTTCTGAGGAATGATGGCTTCCTAAAAAGAAAACGAACAGTATATACTAATCCAGTAAAAAAAAAAAAAAAAAAAAAAAAAAACAAACAAAAAAAAAAAAACAAAAAAAAAAAAAAAAAAAAAAAAAAAAAACTAACAGTAAAAGAAGAAAAACTAGGTGACCATACAATTTAGCATAATAAACAAATACAAAAAGATTTTTTAACTCAGTAATAAATTCAAACAATGTTTTCTATCTCAAAAAAAATATTTAAACTCTGCTATTTGGAAGCTGAAAATTTTTGAAAATACAAACATCCAGAACAAAACTATGCAGGGCTGGGGGTTTTGGTATTAGTCCCTATCACCGCATGCTGCATTGCCGAGGGATGCCGGGATCTGAGAAGCAGTTACAGTCCAGGTACCATGCTTTTCTGGCAACAACTCACAAACAAAAACACCAAATCAGAGAAATTCTTTCCTTGCTTAAAGACTTAACAAGGTGTCAAAAAACAAAACAAAATAAGGTCAAGGCTTACTATGTGTGGAACGTTCCCTCTTTTCCTTTCTATTATAATAGGACACTACCCCATAATTTAAAATTTAGAGAATATTTTCATTTCAAAAACATCTAGTTCAGGAAATAACCTGCCTGCCTCTGGACATGGGGCATACATTCAGCCACCTGTTGTGTCAGGCAGTCAGGAAGACCAGGCCATCCTACTATAGCAAGAGGACCAGGCACAGCACAAGAGTCACTAGCCAGGACTTGGTGTCAGCCCTTAGGATCCAGTGCACAGCTGCCCCCAAGTGCACCCTCAATCTCTAAGTGTCTAAGCTGGGGATAGGAAAAGAGGAGAAACACCGTCGTGAAAATAGACACCTGCCAGCATAGGAGCCACTGAGGGGTGGGTAGGCAGCAGGTCTCCTGACAACTGTGCTCACTGCATGCCTGAGGGTTAGGCCAAGGCTATCGGTACACTTGGCCTGAGTGTCTTGGAGCTCTCAGTGGCCAGCTTTGCAGAAAGTCTCCGTGCTGCTGTGCCATGTGCCACCACATTCTGACTGTCTTGGGGTGCTTCCCACTTGCTCTACAGTGGGAACTCACTAGAACTCAAAGATGCGAAGCCAAAACATAAGAGAAGGGAGAAGAGGCCAGCAGTTCAACAGGAATGGCTGAGATACTGAGGGCATGCTAAGGAGGCGGCTCATGCATACTATGACCCTGTGTGTCCTCTCTGCTCTACCAAAATCTATGAAAATGAAAGAGAGACAATTATATTTACATTATAGAGTAATGCTAAAGAAAACAAATCTCACGAGATCAAAGCCAGAAGGGATAAAGGGAACGCCATCACTAACAGCTATGACCAAGTCTGGAAACACAGCACAAAAATTACCCAAAGAAATAATCTACTAAGCACAGGGATTTACAAATGATAGTCTGCAATCCTTCCCAAGCTAAGCATCACCACGCCTTAGTATTATTCATACTGCTAACCCAACAGTAACAGCCTGACTGTTGACTATGCTGATAAAGGTATAAAGTGTACTTTACCTTCAATAGGAAAGTGTGTCATGTACCCATTTCGAGATTCATTACTAGATTCACAAAAGGGAAAATTGGTTTTGAAAAACTTTGCTTGTGAAGTTCATTTATGTTTTTTTTTTTAAAGGCCAATACATTTTTTTCCTTTTCCATTCGGAAAAGTAATATAGTTATAATTATTAAAACAGTCTGTCCAATATAAAGAAACAGTAAATACGAACAGGATTTCGTGGGAGAGCAGAAGTGAAAGGCGATACCTTGCAAAGCCTTCGAAAGGGGGAGCTTTTCATCGACATCGCCAGTTTCAGAGGGGCCTGCTTTGGGATACAAAGAGAAGCTTCAAAAGGGATTTTACAGCATGTGCTGGTCATGTTAGTCACATCTGGGTGAGGTATATGGAATGATGGCCTTTTTAGAAATAAAAACAGGCAAAAAAAAAAAAAGTGACATTAGTCGATGGTCTTGGTTGATGTGTGTCAGGTAAAGGTATGTGTACACAGCTAAAGGAAACTGAGGATGAGTGACAGCATGGGATGGCATGGCAATGGCATGTCTGGGATGGAGGCTCCGAGTAGTTCAAACAGAAACGCTGGCTACAGCAAAGGCTGATGCGGACCGCACACGCCTGCCACTACAGAGATTACTGAAGAAACTGTTAACCTCCCCCAGGCTTTCTGAAGAAAGCACACTATTGTAAGTAACCGTCAACCACCACAGAGGCACACACAACAAACCACCAGGCGGGAATCGAGGCACTTTCTGGTCCAGAATCCTTTTCATTAAGTTAACAAAGTTTTTCCATTAGTAAAGTATTTTGAAAACGGGATTACATGGGAGAGAGGAAGGTGATTTGGATACTCCAAGGGTAAAGAGACAAAGCAGAGTCACAGGGCTATGGTCCAAGTGCAATACACACATGTATGAAGATGCCATAATGAAAGTTAATTCACTAGGGAAAACGTAGTTTCCAGCCACCAAAACCCACAGATGTAGGCATCACATTTTACAGTACTGGTAAGTTTCCACTGTACGGGAGACAGTTACATGGCGCCCAGGCTGACCTCTGACTTCTTGTTGCCTCCACCTACAGAGTGCTAGGAATGCAAGTCTATTCTCTGCTGGGGATGAAAGCTGGGGCTTCTGGCATACTAGGTGAATACCACCCACTGAGCTAAAGCCTTACACAAGCTTTTTAGAATTAATCAATTTAAAGAAGCAAAGCACTACTTTCAATGGCTACTTCTTAAATAAAATGAAATAAACAGCAACTAACCATAGTCTGTAACACCAACACTCAAGAGTATGGAGAATCCTGGGTTTGAGAACCTGGGCTCATAGCAAAACCACATATCCACAATAAAAGAAAACATGAACACAAAACACTATCTAAATACAATACAAAAAACACCCTAGACCAGTGGTTCTCGACCTTCTTAGTGCTTTGACCCTTTAATACAGTTCCTCATGCTATGGTGACACCCCAACCACAAAATTATCTTCACTGCTATTTCAAAAATGTCATTTTGCTGTTATGAATCATAACGTAAATATATGTGTTTTCTGATGGTCTTAGGTGACCCCTGAGAAAGGGTGATTCATCCCCACAGGTTGAGAACCACTGCGTTTGAACAGTCTGCAATAGCACACAGGGAATTTCACAAAGACATTAACACACAGTACAAGCAAGGGACATGTATAAAGGAGAGACACTGTGGGGTTCTGGGGTGGCTGTAGTGTGGCTCAGGGGCAGAACACCTGCTCACCCAGCAGCCCAAGGCCCTGGCTTCAATCTCCAGCACAGAAAGGAGAGTGTGGAAAAGAAGAAGACAGAAAGAAAAAAGGGAAATACCCACAAGGCACTGCTCTGCTGGCCTGGGAAATGGCCAGCTGAACTTGTAGCTAAACTTCTTCAACTGCACTAAAGAAACAATCACTGAGAACAACAAATGGCCAAACCAAACAGTCAGGAGCGGGAGAGGGCGGGGACAGGACAAGAGTATCATCACAAGTTAGATAGAGACCACCCTCAGAGACACAAGGGCTCAAGGCAAGCCAAGCAAACCATCATTCTGTACAATGACATACTCATAAAAAATAAGTGAGGTCAGGAGTGAGGGCGTATGCTTTTAATTCCAGCACTCAGGAGGCAGAGACAAGTGGATCTTTGCAAGTTTTAGGCCAGTCTGGCCTATTTAATGAGTACCAGGACAGCCAGAGCTACATAAGAGATGGTTTGAAAAAATATCAAATAAATAAAATGTCACCTCCCGAGTGTGGGTGTTAAGGGTATGTGTGCACATGGGGAGAGGGCCGTGGGGGACTAATACTCACAGCAGGCAATAAAAATGGTAACAATGAAGAAATACTAAAGGGCAGATTTTCTTTCTTTTTAATCTTTCTTTTTTAAGATTTATTATGCATACAGCATTCTGCCTGCATGTATGCCTGCAGGCCTGAAGAGGGTGCCAGATCATATTACAGATGGTTGTGAGCCACCATGCAGTTGACTAGGAATTGAACTCAGGATCTCTGGAAGGGCAGCCAGTGCTCTGAACCTCTGAGCCCTCTCTCCAGCCCCGGGCATATTTTATTTAAAAGATCAGTCTACCTGTTACCTTTATGTACACATGAGCAAACACTAACAACCAAGTCTAGCTACTCTGAACATTTTACCTCTAAAACCATAAAAATAATCCTCACGATTATCTCAGCTTTAAGTTCTGTATCACAGTCAGTAAAACTGTCCAAAACTAACTACAGATAACATAAATGTGGGGCCCAAAAGATAGGTTAGGGGGTAAAGGCACTAGCCACAAAGCCTAAAGATCCAAGTTCAATCCCCAGGAACCACACAGTGTAAGGAAAAGAACCAACTCCTAGCTGACCTTTCACCTCCATACATGTAGGGGCCCTACCCAACTTTTTTTTTTTTTTTTAAATGACTGTCACTGAAACTCAGCAATACACATACACAGATATTTGCACACTTAAACACCATGAAATATTTTGGGCATTTGTAGACTACTCCACATCCAATAAGAATTTTTAAAGAAAAATCAAGTCTACCAGGCAAGTGCAAACTAGAACTTTGTGAAAAAGTCACAACACACATACTGAAGTAGTCACTGACATTTTTGTTTGAGGCAAGGTCTCCCTGTGTAGCTCTAGCTGGCCTTGGCTTCCCTCCCAAGTGCTGAGAATGCAAGCATGGGCTACCAGGCCACATTTAAACCACTAAGATGAACCAGACTGACCGTACAAATGAAGACACGGATGTGGACCAGAACTCTCACATTCTCCTGACTGTAATGGAAAACTAGGAACAGGCACCGTGGCAAAGAAGGGGATTTGCTCAGAGAGCTAAAGGCCGCCAGCAAGTGTCAGGAAGAAAGACTGCATTAAACAATTGTTACCTTGAATGTTATACTGATAGTAATCAGGATCTTCTGACTCTTCCTTTACTGTCACAGCGGCCATTTCCAGAGAAATGCCTACAAAACAAGTGACAGTCTCCAGTAGGTCACAGTTCCAGGGTACTGTACATTCAAATCCTTATACATTTAAAGACTTTGAAGGGCAAACGCTTATTAGGGAGGGGTTGAAGAAAAGCATCTGCAACCCAAACCAAGTCAAGGTTTCGGCAACTGATAGACAGACAGACCAACGGACTGACCAACCTGAACAAACTTCACAGTAAAAATCAAGTAGCTCTATGGGAAAAGGTGAGCTGAAGAGAAGCACAGATACCTCGTTTTGCCCAGTCAGAACAGACAAAGGAAACTTTAGAACACAAGGTACCAGAGGGACATGGCTGCCCAACTGCTCTTGGGTGGGGAAGGAGAGTGAGGTAAAACTCCACTACCTCTGACAGAGACTCGAGTCCCTCAGTAGAGCAGGAAGGTCTTCAACATCCACACAGGCTGAGTGGTTTATTCTCTTACCTCCCAGCGTGCCTAAACAACAGTATCACCATCCCACAGACCAACCCTAAGAGCTAACACTAGAAACCCTAAGAAGAAACCTAACTGCAAAGCTTTGTTGACTTTAGGCTGGACAAATATTTTTAGGTAAAAAGAAAATAAAAATAAACATTGTGTTTGGTTCAGAGAGGCATACCTTTAATTTTAGCACCTGGGAGGCTGAGGGAGGCTTAACGGACAGCCAGAGCCACAGAGCCATACAAAACAGAAACGGGGCAGGAGGATAGTTAAGTGGTACTATGGAGGAAGGGATAAGAAAAACTACAATGGTATCTGTACAAAACGCCACAGTGACAGGACTGGATAGATGGCTCAGAGGTTAAGAGCATGTACTGCTCTTTTAGAGGTTCTGGGGTTCAGTTCACAGGACCTACATTTGGCAGCTCACAACTGCCTATGACTCAAGCTCCAGGGGATTTCGATTCCCTCTTCTGGTCACTATAAGCACTGCCCTCACATCCACGTAGATATACACAGACACACACAAATATACAAACAATTTTATTTATTTTTGTTTTATGTGCATTGGCGTTTTACCTGCATGTGTGTCTGTGTGAAGGGAGGGTGTTGGATCCCTTGGAACGGAGCTGCCGTGTGGGTGCTGGGAATTGAACCTGGGTTCTCTGGAAGAGCAGCCAGTGTTCTTAACTGCTAAGCCATCACTCCAGACCCCATACAATTTTTAAACCAAAAATAAACTTTAAAAAAAAAGATGTTATTTTGTTTTTGTTTTGTGTGTGAGTGTGCTTTTGAGACAGAGTTTCTCTGTAAAGCCCTGGCTGTCCTAGAACTTGCTCTGTAGACTAGGCTGTCTGCCTCCTAAGTACTGGGATTAAAGGTGTACAACACCATTCCAGATTTAAAAATTATTTAAAAAAAAAATGCCACAGATAAGCCCACCACATTGAATGCTAACTTTGAAAATTAAATTAAAAAAAAAAAAATGAAACCCATGAGACTTTAACTCTAAACAAAGAACTACAAGCAACTAAGGAATACTGAGATTAGAAAGAAAGTCTTCTCTGCTAAAACATAAACAGTACACAAACTGATACTAACCCTACCCCCAGCAAGTTAGGAGTATGTGTCTGCGTGTGTAAATAACAATGTGACCTGAATTTGAAAGAAAGAAAGACAAGGTATATGGAAGGTTAGAGAGGGAGGAAAGGAGAGGAAGAAATAATGTAATTATAACCTCAAAAATAGAAAAATTTCAATGAAATAAGCCAGACATGGTGGAAAACACCTTTAATCTCAGAACATGGGGAGTGGAAGGCCATCCTGGTCTACATAAAGAGTTCCAGGACAACCAGGGCTACATAGAGGGACACTGTCTCCAAAAAATAAATAAATAAATAAACCAAGCAACCACAGGAAAAGGCAAAAAAGAAAGAAAATTAAAGAGTAAAACATGTTTTAAGATCAAAAAAAAAAAAAAAAAAACCTTGAAAACATAGTAACCACATTTATTGAGTTTGAAAGATACCATAAAAGAAAATAAAAAGACCAAGTACAGGATGTAAGAAACATTTGCAAGACCAGATTTCTGACTTGTATCCAAAAGATATGCAGAACTTCTGACAACTGGGGAAAAAAAAAATCAATAACCACAAGTTAAAAATAGAGCCAACAAGAGCTGGGGAAAAGACTCAGTAAGTGAATCACACAGCATGAAGACTGGAGACAGCATCCCCAGAACCCATGTCAAGTTGATGGTATATGTCTGTAATACCAGCTCTCTTACAGGGAGATGGAAGGCAGAGAATCCCTGGAAAATCACAGGTCAAAGAGTCCAGCCTCTGCAGTAGCAAAATGTCTCAGACCAACACTTGAGGTTGTTGTCTGATCTCACCAGGCACACCATGGTACATACATGCCTGGATCCATTGTCTCCCTCCCTCACCCCCACTGTGTGTCTCATTCTCTCTCTCTCCTTCCTCTCTCTCTCCTTCCTCTCTCTCTCTCTCTCTCTCTCTCTCTCTCTCTCTCTCTCACACACACACACACACACACACACACACACACACGCGCGCGCGCGCATGCGCGATAAAAAAATGACAGCATTTAAATAGACATGTAATCAAAGAAGCAGGAATGGCTAATGAGCACATGAAAGAAATGTTCAGCGTCATCTCCCATGAGGAAATTACAAATTCAAACCACAGTGAGGGAGCTGGAGAGACAGACACCTCAGAGGTTCAGGATACCTTCTACACAATCCTAAGCACCAGAGCTTAGAGTATCTCAGAACTGGCATAACAGGTGGATCAAACCAGCCAAAGCCTGGAACCTCAGCTCTGAGTGGGGCAATGACAAGACGACGGGGCTTCCAATCAGCAGGCCCGGATTCTGAGAGACCCTGCCTCAAAGGACTAGCTAGAGCAGGAGACACTGGATGCCCTCTCTGGCCTTAAAGCATGCAAGGCACACAACCTCTCCCCAGACCCATGCATACAAATATACCACATTTACATACAGGCACATGCACAAAATTAATTACTAATTGTAAATAAGGCTTTAGGGGCATCTCTTACAATGAAACTGGGTAGAGTAACACATGCTGAGGCAGGAAGCTCATGAAAGGCCAGTCTGGTCAGCATCACAGGACACAATAAATAGCGACTCAAAATAGAACCTCCTCAACCAAGGAAAATACTGCATTTTATATTAAATTCTAATTTACTCATACATACCAGAGTCTTCTGTGGGTTCAGTCTTCACTTTGATCGGGCCACAACTGAAAGGAGGAAGAAACTTGGATCATGGGATGCAACTGTGAGAGCCACTCGAACCAGAGTCAACAGCTTCCCCGATGTCCAGACTTACATAAGTAGTACCCCTGTGCACAACTACTGAGTCAAACCTACATTCTTGGTGCCACACACCCGTAATGCCAGCACTCAGGAGCCTGAGGCAGGATTATTCCAGTATGACACTATCTAGGCTATTAGAAAGTAAGGATTTTTCTCAAAACAAAACTTGCATTTTTACCACTAAGTGTTCAACTGTACACTTTACTCTGGATATGTGGCACAAGGCTGTCTATTATGGCAACTCTGGGGCACACAGTACTAAAATGCTGGTAAGAGACAGTTTACCTTCCACTGGGAGACAGGATGGTCCGCTCAGTATCTGATGCCATCACTCGACCACCTACAAACAAAAGCCAATTATATTCGGGTTTAACAACATTTCAAGTAGGGTTAATATTTTAATATTCCCAAACGATTCCCCACCTTTCTTGTTTGTTTTGGTTTCTGTTTTGTTTTTCCGAGCCAGGGTTTCTCTGTGTAACAGCCTTGGCTGTCCTGGAAACTGGATTTGTAGACCTGGTTGAGCAAACTCAAAGATCTGGATGCTTCTGCCTCCCAGCTGCTGGGATTAAAGGCATGCACCACCATGAAGCCCACATCCAACACCTTTTGTTGTTGCTGTTTTTGTATTTGTAGCTAGGGTTATGTAACCCAGGCTGCCTTCAACTCTCGGCAATCGGTTACCTCAAACAGAGCCAGGATTACAGGCATAAGCTACCATATATGACCTGGCTTGTGGGAGATTTGAGGTGGGGTTGGGAGGACCTACAGGAGAAATTTCATAAGACGTGCAAACATAGTCTCTAAACTCCTTCATCCACTTTTCATCTCACACACAAAATTGTATTGTGTCAGTGAGCTGAATTCAGAAATGAAGCGTTTCTTGAGTGGGATATGCAAGGCCTGTGGGTCTCCCTCAGCGTGGGCTTTTGGGAGATATGACAGAAGTGTTCACAGTTAATGATCAGTTGCCCAACTTGTGGTACACTTTAAAATGTCAAAGTATACAAAATTAAAAGACTTGTCAGCTGTGGTGGCATACACCGTTGATCCCAGCGCTCGGGAGACAGAGGCAGGCACAACTCATTGAGTTCAAGGGCACCCTGGTCCACAGAGCAAGATCCAGGGGGGAAAACGGTGTGGGTGGCAGCAGAGGCATGAATCCCAGGCTACACAGAGAGGCCTGTTTCCACTATTTCTTAAGTGTGTTTGGCAGGAACACAGGAGGATATGCAGGCAGCACAACAGTAAAATAAGAATCAACTATTAGTACAAAGCAGAGATAATTTCAAAATGAGAAACCAAACAAAAGAGAACACACATTATCATTCTACTCATGTAAAAATCTGGAAATGCTGGGGTGGAGAGACGGCTCAATGGTCAAGAGCAGTTGCTGCTCTTATAGGACCTGGGTTTGGTTCCCAGCACCCATATGATGGCTCACAGACATCCAAATCTCCAGGTCCAAAGGAACTGATGCCCTGTTCTAACCTCTGTGGGCACCACGCATGCATATCATGTACAAGTAAACCTACAGGGACAGGAAAAGACTCAACGAAAGCTTGAGGATACAGCAGAGTTCGAAGCAAGCCTGGTCTACAGATCAAGTTCCAGGACACCCTCCAAAGCTACCCCAGGACACCCTCCAAAGCTACAGAGAAACCCTGTAGCCGCCCCCCCCCAAAAAAAAAAACCCAATAAAAGAAAAAAAAGAAAAGAAAAAAGAAATAGATCTTGTGGTGATGGGTCCTATGGCACACACACTGTGTACTTTATAAGTCTGTAGTTCACTGAATGTCAGTTATACCCCTAGAAGGCACTAAAAGACTTTAAAACGACTTTCGTGGTAAAGTAAGATGCCGTTTGTTTTGTTTTAACTGTACTGAGGACTGAACCTATGTGCCCTCAAGTCCTCTGCCTATCAGGACCACAAGAACTCCACATGCAACTAACTCTGTCTCCAGCTCTTTTTCCATGTTTTACCTTGCTTCATTTTTTGTTTGGTTTTTGAGACAGGATCTCACTATGTCACTCTAGCTAGTCTGGAAATTACTATGCAGACGAGGCTGGCTTTAAACTCACCAAGATCCACCTGCCTCTGCCTCCCGAGTGATGGGATTGAAGATGTGCACCACCATGCCCAGTCCTCCTTAGACTTTTAAAAATATATTGACTTGTTTGTGTGAGTACTGGGAGGCAGGTGTTGTGCAAGGACCTCAGCTTGGAGGTCAGAGGACAACATGCAAGAACTGCTTCTCTCCTTCCATTGTGAGTACAGACCATGCAACTGGCTTTACTTTATTTTGGTACATACATATTCCCTGAAGTTGCCCAGGATGACCATGAACTCACTCTACAGGACACAACAAGAAATGATCTCCCTGTCTCACTCTTCCCTAACATGAAACACAAACCCAGCTCAAAAGAACTATTTTTTTTAAATTCAATCAGATCCCTAGGTGGGCATGATGGTACTTCTGTAATCACAACACTAAAGGAGACTAGGGCAGAAGGACCATGAGATGCCATTGTAAAAGTCGGTCAGATAAAAAAACGAGAAACAACCAGACCATCCCCCAATATCTGAGAATAAGTTAGACACTGGTTTTAAAAACTAAATAAACAAACTTATTTTAGTCAGGCATGATAGTACATGACTTTAATCCCAGCACTCTAGAGGCAGGCAATCTCTAAGAGTTTAAATCCAGCTTGGTCTGGATTTAACAGGAATCTAGTTCCTGTTGCCCAGGAGGTTGTGACAGGAGGATCTTAACTTTATAGAACAAGAGTGTCTCTAGATAAGCTTCCAGATAAATAAACATAAGCAAATAAATAAGGCTGTCTGGCCCACACATGCTGTGATACACATGTACCCAGACCCACACCCAAAATAAATAAATTCAATTATTTTTTTTAAAAAAATGTAGCATAATAGAGGTGTGTACACACATCTAGATGTACCCTTATACAGAGACACACACATACACACAACACACACACAAAATAAAATAATAGGGACTGGATATGTAAGTCACTGACACGCCATGTGCTTAACACTCTCAAGATATTGTGGTTGATTGCAAGGACAAAAATTTAATTAACTCGGTAATTTAATTGACTGCTTCCAGTATTTAAAGTAAAAGACTGATCACAAAAATGAATGATCACTGGTAAGAAAAGCCCATAGAGTAAGGGATGCTCCTTAGCTGGCACAGCCACACCAACACAACCTCCAAGTCACTCAGAGTACCTGCCATTTCTCCCCAGGTCTGCCACCATGCGTGTGCATAAGCATGTGTCCAAGTGCACCTCACAATGGGAGGTCAGAGGACTTCTTACTGAGGCAGGGTCTTTCTCCTATTTTTTTTCTGCTGCTCTGTGTACTCAGGACTACTGGGCTTGTTATGGGCTTCTACAGTTTCCTGCCTCTGCCTTCCATTTCAAAGCAAAGGCAAAGGCATTACAAATGCATTCCAACACATGCAGCTTATTTACCTGGGTCCCAGGGATGTAATTCAGGTCATCAGGCCTTGTAGCATGTACTTTTACTTGTGGTCCTGCAAGCTGTTTGTGCCACTTTTGTGGCCATAATCTAAACCTTTAACATAACAAACACTCTGAATTTTTCTTTGTTTATTTTTTTTGGGGGGGTGGGGTGGGTTGGAGGGTTGAGACAGGGTTTCTCTGTGTAGTCCTGGCTGTTCTGGAACTCCCTCTGTAGATCAGACTAGCCTTGTTTCTGCCTCCCAGGTGCTGAGATTAAAGGTATGCACCACCACCGGCCCGCCCTGAATGTTTCTTTATGAAGTCAGTGCTGGCATCAAGCTGTCTATCCTCCTGCTTCAGCCACCTGAGTGCTGGGATTTCAGGCCTAGGCCACAACCCTGCTTCTTTCTCAGTCTTATAAAGGACCCCCCACACTGACACCTTCCCCCTTAATGGTCAAAGAGGAATGCTGGCCTAACAGGAGAACAATGTGGAGGTGAGAAGACTGTTCTCTCCTAACACGGACATCAAGGTGACATCTACTACAGACACTAGCATTCGGTGTGAACCCTAACCAGACCAAAGAGTAAGAAACAAAAGGCACACTGTGGCAGGAAGGAGAGAGACACTTTCTCCACTCACACATTTGCTGTGAAGAAAACACAGAAATACAGGCTGGGTCAGCTGACTTCCAGCAAAGTTACCAAGACAACACAGAGAGAGAGTGCCTCTTTACTGATTGCTTATGGAATGCTGGAGACCCAGATGCAAAGACAAATTTGTGCCTTTACAATTTGCAATATAATATACAAACCCAAAATAGACTATAGATCTGGGAGGTGTCGCTCAGTAGAGCATTTATTTGACTGGCATTGACATGCTAAGTCCCACTGCTAGCACCACCGGAAAGGAAAGGCTGCAGACCTGGATCCAGGAGCTAAAAAGCTGTATTACTTGCTAGGCCAATGTCCATACCCCAAAGTCTGGTGATGCTCTCCTTTTTTGCAACACAGCATGTCAGCATGAGGGATGAGTAAGAACTGTGGACTCAATCCCCTCCCAGCCCCAAACACAGCTTGTCAGAGAAGACCGCTCAGCAGGCAACAGCACTTGCTGCTAAGCCTGACAACCCAAATTTGGTCCCTAGAGATTCATACAAAGGACAAAACTAACTCCTGCAAGATGTCTTTAAATTTAATTTTTTTTTTTTATGTGAAACCCAGCGCTGAAGAGATGGTTCAGTAGCTTAAGGATCAGTAACACAAGCATGGAAGTCCTGAGTTTGGATTCCCTGTACCCTCAACAGAAGCTGAAGCTGAAATAGGCAGAACCCACAGTTCACTAGCCAGTTGGTGAGCACCAGAGTCAGTGAGAGACTCTGTCCCAAATATGAGGTTGAGGATGATGGTGGAATAATCCAGTACCAGCTAACTCTGGCATCTGCACAAATAAAATACATAAGTACACAGAAGTATACATGGTGCCAACACATATAAAGTGAAACTACCAGCCAGTTGGTGGCAGCGAATGCCTTTAATTCCAGCACTCAGGAGGTAGAGGCAGGCAGATCTCTGCAAGTTCAAAGCCAGCCTGGTCTACAAAGCTACAGTGAAAAACCCTATCTCAAAAACAAAAAAGTCTTACATCACAAACTTAAAGAAAACAAACAAACAAAATGAAACAAAAGCAATCAGGAATCCAGCAGTCTAATGTGTAAACAAGGGAATGAACTCACCAAGGTGTTTCTTTGGCTCAAGGAAAGGTCTGCATGAAAAAAAAAAACATGAAGCCATGTATGAAAACACAAAACTAGCATAAGCATAGACACAAACAGCATCTGGATTAAATTCAGTCAAAATGGATGTACAAACTGTGAAAAACACAGGAGAAGGCACCTCACCTCTTAATGATGAACGAAATCCCCGCCTTGTTCTCCAAAATCCACTTCAAGGTTGCAAGATCGTAATGTTCAGGGTGCTTGAAGGCAACACCCTCAGGAAGCCCCTGTACCACCACAGCCGACTGGTCACGTAGCATCTTCTCATACGGCACAGGGACCACTGTGGATTTGCCTAAAGCTTTCCCTGTGGGAGGAAGACATGGAATTATCATGACCCCATGATCACCATTGAAAACTGAATCACTGCAGCTGGGAAGATAACTCAGTATTTAAAGTGATGACCATTAAACCATGAAGACCCAAATTTGGATCTCCAGCACCCACAAAAAAGTGGAGCAGGGTAGTTTCATTGTAATCCCAGTGGTGAATAAAAGGAATCATGGAGCCGGCAGTGATAGTGCACGCCTTTAGTTTCAGCACTCAGGAGGCAGAAGCTGCCCAGTCCATGAAATCAGGGAGCTCCAGATTCTGTAAGACCTGTCTCAAAAAGGAAATGCCTTTAATCCTAGCACTCAAGAATAAGGGCAGGCGGATTTCTGTGAGTTTGAGGCCAGCCTGCTCTACAAAGTGAGTTCCAGGACAGCCAGCCAGAGCTATACACAGAGAAAACCTGTCTCAAAATACCAAAAAATAAATAAATAAAAAAGATGGGAGGCTACAGAAGCAATGCTCTTCCAGAAGACCCGAGTTTGATTCCTAGCACCCACACTGCCACTGTAGCTGGTTTGGTTTTTTTCTGTTTGTTTTCTCGTTGGGGGCCAGCCTCCCAGCTCCCAAATAAATAGACTTATTCTTACTTATGAATGCCCAGCCTTAGCTGGGCAGTGGTGGCACACGCCTTTAATCCCAGCACTTGGGAGGCAGAGGCAGGTGGATCTCTGTGAGTTTGAGGTCAGCCTGGTCTCCAGATCGAGTGCCAGGACAGCCAGGGCTATACAGAGAAACCCTGTCTGAAAAAATAAAAACAACAACACAACAAAATAAAAGATCAATAAGTGTCATTCTGACTTTTCTCTCAGTGTCTGACTTTACAGTAACTTAAATGAGTAATTCAAATAGCACTCAAAGCACTAAATTTCGATTCCCAAGTCAACTAGCCCTGGAAGCTGACATCAATCCAAAGGCCAGAAAACACAAAGTCCCTTACTCTCTAGCCAGTGTGGTGTATCTATAAGCCCAACAAAGTACAAGACTCAGGCAGGAGGATAAAAGAAAGTTCAAAGCCTGCCTGAAGTGAAGAGAGTTCAAAGCCAGCACCAGAATCATTGAGACCCTGTCTTACAATAAAAAAATAAATAGAAAATCAGGCTGAAGATGGAGTGCACTTCAGTTGTCAAATGATTTCTTAGTGAGGTTCTGGGTTCAACCCTAGACCAAAATAAACTATAATGATGACAGTACAATCTGTTGTACCAAATGACGGGGCTAATGCAGAGTTGTGGTGCAGAGAGTTGAGGACCAGCATTGATATCAAAAACAGGTAAGTCTCAGGCCAGTGGAATGGCTCAAAGGGTAAAGGACCTTGACATGCAAGCCTTGTTGCCGGATTGAACATAGAACTCACATAACGTGGGAGAACAGATTCCACAAAGCTGTCCTCTGACCTCCGCACGCACACCATGGCATGCATGCACATCCCTCCCGTGAACATACAAATAATAAGAACCATAAAATTTGTAGTTCTTTTTTTTTTTTTTTTTTTTTTTTTTTTTTTTGAAATTCTGTTTTCTGAGATAGGCTCTCACCATATAGACCAGACTGGCTTGAAATTCAAAGGTCCACTCACATACCACCATGCCAGCCCAATAATGGTAAAAATAAATAAGTTACATGTTTTTCTGAATTCTTTTGACTTAATCTCTTAAATTCACAAATTAATCTACTCTGTTTGTAAAAATATGTTAGATAAATGTCAAATCAATTACAAAATCCACCACTTAGAAAATGTGTCTTACTGGCCAGGGAGGCTGCCCAGTGGAAGAGCCAGTAACTGCTCGAACCTGAGTTCCCAATCCACATAAAGGCAAAGTGAACCAACTCCACCAAGCTGTCCGGACCTTCACACGAAAGCTCTCAAACCCACAAATGCACACGTGTATACAAGCAAACACAATTTTTAAGAGAAGAAAATACCATCATGTAATGCACTTTTTTCAAACTTGAGATTTTACCATAGCAAAAACAGAAGTAATCCTCCACCGTTTTTCTGAGTGTTTCAATTTCTACAGCATCCACGCTCATCCGATTTGCAGGGGTTGCAGATTTCATCTTATGCATCTCTGCCGCCTTTTCTTCTTCTTCAACGCCTGTAAAACAATCAGGGGT